TGCCTGTCCGCGCTGGCTGACTGCCGGCGCGCTGCTACCGCTACGTGCGGGAAGCGCGGTCACGGACGGCCCTTGCCGGCCGTCCGGGGATATCTCCCGACCACTTCAACATACAATAGCATGAACTGACTTGACATGATCATATTTACTAAAAATACTCAAAATCATGAAATTTGCGCGATATGCTAAAGTGGCCGGCTGCGTGCGCTCCGTGCGCCGCCTACGGCGTTAAGCCGCTTCTCGATCGAGCATGAATTTATTTCGACAACTAACACATAACTGAACATGAAATACTGTTTACTGGACAAATTGACATGAATTGCTCAAAGGACTACCACTTAACACGATCGCTAAGCATGCACGGCCCGTGGTGCGCGCTACGTGCGCGACCACGCCCTTTGGTCAACTCAACGATAAATCATGAAAATTCTCCGAGCAACATGAGCTAACTGGACATGATTTAACATAAAATGTTTAAATACATGAAGCTTGCTCGAGAGATTCGGATCAAAAACAATATGCTCGCCATAGGCTCCTACGTACGCACGGTCGAACATAACTTAAAGCCGTATCATGAATATGACTAAAGCAATACGGAGCTAACATGACTTTAACATGATCAATCAAAGGTAAACCAAAGTTACCTTCTCGAACACTCGGCTGATTGCACCAGCTACTTGTGATCACTCGGAGTTCGCGCCTCCGTGCGTGTGTGCGTGCTTCATCGTGTGTATGCTATGTCGTGTGCAGTATTTGCTAAGGCAATATCTCATAACTCTCACTTCTCTCTATACTAAGCACATATAACTAAGGATGAGGAAGAGCAAAATTCTCCCTAACATATGCTTTATATACATGACCGAACAAAATGAGGAGGTGAGGATTATTTGATAGCTTAACATTTTAATGCCACTTGTAATTTAATGAATGTCTTAAGATGCTTAGTCATAACATAAAGAGATGATTCACCACTTAATTGTCTATAACTAAGCCACCTCAAGCTAAGTAATATGGAGACAATTCTCCCTCATTAGCTCACGGCTTTTTAACTAAAATGGACTCCAAATGCTACGGCTTTTAGTATATAAGCACGATTACTTAATAATTAAGCATAATCTTTATGCTTAATTAATTACTAAGCATGACACTTAATTTTTGAAATTATTCCGAACACAAACGTGACTTCAAAAATAATTTCGGATAATCTCGACTGAAAATAATTAATTCCGAAAATAATACTCGACAATATTATTATATCGGAACTAAATACATGATTTGTATAATTAACTCGATGGGATATTACACAGTTGGCACATTCCACGGAGGAATTCCTTGAGTTAGATCAGAGAATAGACTCAAATTTTCTAAGTCAGATAAGTAAATCATGTTCAAAGCTAAATTTTCATGCTAAAGGTTGTTATATTTCCCAAGCCATTGTAAAAAATAACGGTTTTCAGTGTATAAGAGTCAATATTCCGAGTTACCATGGAGGCTTGAAATAATAGCCATTCAGCCGGGTATACCATGGAGACTTGAAACTGGGACCAGAACAGGATAATTTCATGTAGTAACAACCTTTAAAGTCAGTTATGTCATGTATTCCATCAGTTTGATATTCCAAGTTATGGTTGCCAAAGTTCAAGATCAGTTATTCCTTTCGTACTTGCGGGTGTTGGGTTCTGTTAGGAATGTCAAACAACATGCACAGTATTGAACTTTATCGAA